CCAGTAATTGTTTGAAGTCATAAAGAACTGACTCCTTAATTACATTTACTTTCCACTTTCAATGTCCAATCAACTGTTTTCTCATGAATGAGATGATCACTGATAATTGCCAATTGAGAAGGGACCGAAGGCTGCTTTCAACATCATTTAAAGATCAAGGCCTTTGAAATGATCCTATTCCATTAAAAAGGGAATACCAATTTGAACGGCTACGCATTTGGGCTTGACGGGACGGGGAACGGCAATTTAAGTGGAAGCGTTTACGATGTATTACTTCTGCAGAGGGATAAGTGAGTGATATATTTGTTTAGACCGCGGTTTCAACTTTTCCGTCGTTTTGAAACCTAATCACGGCATAGAGCTAGAAGGTTCAGCTCACGATAATTTTGGATCTGGACAAATAATGGAAACGCCAGTCCAGGATAGTGTAGAAATGGCAAAGAGAAAAAAGAATATCGGCGTGCTGAAAGAAATATTATGCTTCAAAAAAAGCAGTAATTGGGGGTCGAACGAGAAGTGACGACAGAAGTTGCATGGAAGGGGTCTTTGGACGAGTTGTTGAAAACTGTGCGCCATTGCATACAGCTGGCTGCAATGCGCTGCCTGCATGCAAGGCCTGGTCCGCTGTGGATGGTGAAACCTCTTCTTATTTCACAACACTTAACAACTCGTCCGCCTCGGGTGCGTAAGTCGGCTAAGCTAGATTTAGGGTCCTTATTACGCCCTATCTTGGCCATTTTTCGGCCTGATGGCGTCCCTTAGGCTATCTTCGGGGTTCACGGGTTAATCCAAAGTGAAAATCTCAAAAACCATACTTAACGTGAGCTGTGCCTTCCAGAAGTGTTCATTGCCTTAAAAATTCATTGCTCTTTGTTTTTGGCTCATCTGAAGTCAAGTCAGAGAGGTGTGAGGACTCGTGACGGTAAAAAACAACTCCAGAAGTGAATGACAGTATGTATACCTGAAGAAACAGAGTTAAAGAAAAAAGGTAAATACAAGTATGGGACGGAGTGCATGAAGATCCATGAGTCTGCCGGGTAACGAGCTCGCTGCCGGTCCATCGCTCTGGCAGTGTGATCTAAGGAAGCTCGTTAACTCAAAAGAATTGTAAAAACCACTTCTATAGTTTTAGAAACCTCTAATGAAGTATTCAGGCCTAGAAAGTGAAGCTTATAGTACAACTTGTTAGAAAGCAGAAGGCTGTAGTTGGCTAAACCTCTAGTTCATCGAGTTCAGATGTGCTTGAGCCCTAAGAGAAGGCCTGTTTGACATCCGTAAGAGAGGCCGAGAGTACGGTAACGTAACGATGAAGACCCTGATTGTCACATGAGCGAGTTTCTGAATGCAAGGGGGAGTTGCGGGTGAAAGACGAATAATTCGGCAAATATAAAGGAATAATAGAGGTGGTACTGACACTGAACATGGAGGACCAGCATATCTGCCTCAATGCTTGAGACTGGTTAAGACATGCATATACTTGTATTCCGGGTTCGGGTTTCAATCCCGGATCGATATCCGCCCAGGACAACCAAGCGTTCCATCCCGGGGTCGGTTAATCAGACTCTTCTGGGAGGGTAAAAGCACTGATTTGTACATCGGCTGGCCAACGCAAGTCACTGTATAGGCCGTATATGCATTCAATACGATTCTGAATGGAAGTGGATTGCGTGGGCGCATCTCTCTGTCGGGATTGACCACGTCCCAAGACGTTAAACTCTTATTCTTCATATAATAATTGTATTCCAATCAGCAAAGGGCTTGGATTAGTACTTTGCTGGGACTACAAAGATTGAAGTCAGTTATGACCCGGAAAGAAGGTAGCTCCTTGTTGATTCAGACGTTTTCGATTCACATGGTCGTAGAAGTCCTAAAGAGGGTCTCCTTCTAGTGCAGTAGCATAGAAGCCTAATTGAGCCCCGGATTTCGGAAATTCACTGAGCTCTTCTGGTATGATTTCTATTTCAATTTTTGAAAAAGCCATAGCTCTGAAAATCGCTTTTATTCGGCACTCATCAAAAAAGCAACTAGAAGGCATCCGATCAGATACATCTATGGAAATAACTCAAACAGTTTCAGAGAATGGTCAAGATCAGTGCCAACATTTTAGTGCTTTCCATGTGGCATAAACGGAAACCATGAAATTTCTTACTCCCCTGCCAGTTCGACATTTCAAAATTGTTAGCCATGCCTCATGCTGGAATCGAACCAGCGACCTTCTGTTTACTAGACAGACGCTCTGCCCCTGAGCCAATGAGGCGCCGAGAACTTTGTCCCGGCCTTATCAGATAAGATCATTCCTGCCCAGGTTCACAGCTTGCACCATCTGAACAAACTCATACCAATGGACTATTGACAAGAGACTAAATCTGGTGCCATATTTGCTAATTTTATTTCTGATTTCTCTTTTTTCTAGCTAAGCGACGCCTTTTACTGCATCTAAAGGATTACAGGAACCAATGGCTTGGGGGAGCGTCTCAATAGGAACAGTGAAGCACCTCCAAAATTTGTGGATGATTTCCTTGGCTCAACATGATTATAGCTAAGAGCTTATTGTATGGATGGCTATTATCAAGGCCTCAGGTAGTCAGAAAAAAAGCTCTTATTCAGCAAATGAGTAAATAAATAAATAAATAATCAAATTATAAAGTGAATAGATAAATGATTGCTGATGTGAGATACCATCACTACATAAGTGCATCTACTGGAACAGTCACACCTCGAAATATTACGAGCGGTGAAGTGAATTGAGCGATTTTGTCAGACCTACCTGTTCTTCAAAGGTCCAACAGCATGCGATTACGTCTCGCTACAGCCTTCATCAGTAGAACTTCCGTAATGTTGGATAAAAACTCACACGGTGCCGTCGTCGTTCCTTTTTCTGCAAAGAGGAGGTTCACTTTACAAATCTCCTGACCAAAATCCCTTTGGTGTATACCTTTTACTTTCCCAGTAGTATCGCTAGGTTCCGATGGGGGTGTTGCTGAAAGAACATTAGGCTGTGAAAGGAAGTTTTGCAGTTCAATAGCTCAACATCCCTACGGAGACAAATAGAAGGTAGGATTGCTTAGCTGACAGTATTAAACTTATGAGGGACTCTAAAAGGGCCACTTACGTGAACCTTTATTCATCTTTCATGAAGTTTGTGGTCAAAGTATATACAGTAATACGACTGATAAAAATTACTTAAGACAGGGTTGGGCTAAAGTCAGTTGGTTCAGGCTGTTCACTTCTTCGTTGTCAAAGAGTAGAAGCTCGGAAATTTCAAACCCTAGAGCTCTACCGAAGCTAGAAATCAATTCAGATTTCTTAGCCGATCTTTAACAAGGGAAAGTAGGATGAGAAGTTTTGATGTTATCGCCAATATATGATTAGGCTTGGGAATTGTTCAAATCAAAACAATGAACCTGCTTCTTTCAAAAACATGTCCCCTTGACCAAAGGCTTTCCAATGTTCTCTACGAGATCCGTGAGCTGAAATTGAACCACATTTCTTTCTAGACCACACATACAGTCATCATAAACGTCAGTGTTCTCGTCCTTTCAACTGGTTTGCACCCATTTGCAAATCCCAGAGGGGAATGGCTGATGGGATCAGGCAAGATGGCAAGATTTGATCCAAAACGTAGGCTGTTCAGATCCTTCTCTTGAAGATGCCAATGTTTTTTACCCATCATCTGCAGGATTTGACCAGAAGGTCGCAGAAGAACCGAACACCGACCGATCACCCGCTCTTTTCATAGTCTCTAATAAATAGTTGTAATAGGGAAGCACAACAAACGTGGGTGCATTCACGTGGGTGACCCTGACAACCTTTTTCCCAGGCAAGAGCGCCAAATGCCATCACTCTTGTTATTACCGTAAGCAATCCTAGTCTGAGGCTAACAGAATGTTTGGGATGATGGGTTGATTGGAATTTTATGGCAATAATGAGAAAACATGCAAAAAAAAGGCTGTGCAATCACTTTATGGACTGCTTCGAGCTAGAAGTTTGATGATGTTCTCCCTCTCAACTTCTCAACGATCATTGACCTTCGCGCTTAATGGGCATAAGCACTCAGGCTGTGAGTGCCGAATTGCCTTTTAAACCCGTCCTTGTGTCCGTTGAAGAGAAGTTCTCAAAAGGGATTTCTTTCAAACCATCGTCCTCAAATGTTCCAGGACTTGGACAGGTGAAAATACTATTCAAAAGTTACGAACAAAGTCATCAATACGTCCGAGTTCTTTTTAGAAAGAAATCAGTTTGCAGATAAGAAGGGGATCCAAATAGCTTTTTACTTGCTTTTGCTTTTCTGAGTATTTTTTGCTAAGATTGCAAAAAAGAAAATCTTACGTGATTCGAACAGAGTTGCACGTCCAACTTTCTCCATAGAATCTTTTCGAACTAAAAAGGATGGAGTAGGAAGTCGTTCATTGATACATTCTCGGAAGATATCTCAGATATAAGCCTCAAAGTGAATGGATATACGGTAAAAAAGTGACCATTATCATATATAAGTTGTTGGGAGCTTTGTCGACTAGAAGTTCCGAGATATTGATGCGAGCTTACGAGACCTATTTCAGACCTATAAACACCAGAAACGAAATGCCCCTATCCTCCCCCCACCCTCTCACACCCCAAGGCCAAGATACAAAAAAAAAGCTTAAGATTAGTTTCGCTGGGAAGTTGAGGTAGCAAGGGTTCTATTATAGAATCATCTAGAACCGGATCCTGCTTGTACCAAAAGTAAGAATTTCGTTCTAGCCGTCCCCTAGAGAAAAAGGTAAAGAGATGTCCATCATCGTAAAATCTCTTTGGTAAAGTAGTCTAGGATGTATAACAAAAGGCAAAAAGCTTATTTTCGAAGCTGTATGGGAGCATTTTTTTTCTATGAGCCCTATATGACCATATTCACTAACATAGAACTCATTGTAAATGATAACCAAAAAGAATTACCGGACTCTTGAGAAGGACGCCTGCTCACTTCCTTCGATAGTTTTTGAAGCCTTTCGGCCAATTCTTTTCTATCTGAAAGATAGAAAATGTTTCCCATACCGAAATTCTTTTATAGGTTTCCCATGGTCGTATAAATACACAAATTTCGAAATATAACTAGAAATTCTTGATAGTTTCAAAAAAAAAAAAACCTCTCACCTGGTTCGAAAGACAACCGTCTAATGATTTCCCTCGAGTCTCTCCGGTCTGAATTCAAATATAAATATTATATTTATTGCTGTCGTTAGGAAACACAAAAAGATTCGATTTTGTTGAAACATTGGGAAAGTGGCTATAGAATTTTGCTTTCATTTTTTTGCAGCAAACAGATGGATTCTCTTTCGAGGAAGGATCGGAATCCTTCGAGGAAGTAATGGGGGATGAAAATGACATCGTCGAATTCTTCTATTATTATATACACAGGCCACCGTGGGCTACAGAGGGTCGCTCCACTGTATGCTACAGAGGCCGCTTCGACCCCTGCAGTTTCTCCCGTTCCTAAAAGATCTGTAGGCTGTTCCAGTCCAGCAGAATCTGACATTTATGTAATCTGATCCCTTACGTCCCCAATCCTTTTTTAAATTCCCATCACTTGCAATTCTCGAAACAACCTTTAGGATATGGATACTATTCCACGGAATTTTAACTGGTCCTTTTGCTTTTCTTCACACACTGCATACTGACCGCGTAACACCCATTTTCCGCTTGTATCAAATCACAACCTACGAAACTGGTTTACCACGGGAGATGTGCCGATGGAGGATAACTAGAGCGCATCTTGCCATTAAAAGATCAAAGCACTCCGGTTACTTTCGAGTAGGGACCTGTTCATGGGTTCAGAACAGTTATCAAGCTCTAAGCTGGGAGGTTGCGCCTATAAGCTTAAGATGGACGATTTCTCCACAACCCGACTTCATGAGAAGAAAGTGTTGAAGGAATAGGAGAGCACTTGACGGTAATGGAACATCCGTTGAACAATTGTGTCATGAAATCGTCTCTAGCTTCACGAACAATTGCACCAGGATGGCCGTGAATAACTTATGCCTGTATGAACTTCTTTAGGAATGGAAAAAAAGAAGAAAACTTCTTTCACTACGTCCATCTCACCTGATTCTTTGGAATCTTCTCTCCGCTGTTCCTTTTGAAGTCGCTCTTTCAAGGACCTCCTAGACTTATCTCTACGCTCAGCCCCTAAACAACTTTCTATGATACCTTGACATGTGATATCATATTCTATAGAGATATGAACTGCTTCAACTTCAACTTACTTGGCGAAAGTATCCCTGAGGGAGGGCTTTCTGAAGAATAGAAACACTAGTCGACAGAATCAAGCAAATCAGTGTACCCGAGAAAAAAAAACTGTCAAATCTTGAAAGACCTGCTGTTTTGAGTTGAGGTTCGTAGTCTCGTCTAGAACGCCTTTGTCGTACTTTTGCTGAAACTAGTTAATTCAATTTTGGCCTTTTCGAAAAAAGTAAACTAAAAAATAGGGTACGAGAACCGGGAAAAAAACGCCCCGTGGAATGGTTTCACTTCCGTATAAGTATCGTACAGTGCTGTCGTTGTGAAGGGTCCAGAAAAGAGTTATTGAGGGTAAAAAAGGAGTTTTTTCGGCGTTGATCGACCCATTCGAAGAATGTGCCTCGAATTTGACTATCATTCAGAATCGTTATGGCCATAGAATGACTGAGCAGACCTACACGGGTCAGCCAGAGACTTGTTCCCCAGATCATGCTTGTGTTATAGTGAACAACATCGCATTACATGATCTCCTTCCATATGTAGAAGACAAAAAGCAGTGAAAAACCGAGGTTCGGTCAAAGATATAGTGAAACCGAGGCTCAGTCAGGGTTAAATGTAGCCGTAGGGTAATCAGAAGTACTTCTTACACCTTTACTGGTGGAATACTAAATACCTACTCTGACTGTCATTTAATTTTAACTACTGGAAATACCCGCTTCCTTTAGATAAGAGACACTCGGAAGAAAGCTTTCTTACCTTCATCTCGACTTCTTGGGCTATGTTTTGGGCTTTTCCTTGGACTGTGCCTTGGACTGTGCCTTGGACTGTGTCTTGGACTGTGCCTTGGACTGTGCTCCGGCTTCTTTTCTGAACGGAGATTTGAGTTAAATAATAGTAGCGGTACCGTGGAACTGTTATTTCATTTTTCGTTATTCACTACCGGCCTTATTTGTATCAGCTCTGGTCTCGAAATAGGGGTTTTTCATGGCTATAGACAAACGCTTAGTCAGGCTTTAGAGGAATAAATGGAAGAGTGGGTCCGTTCCGAAAAGTCGACAATGTATCGGTCAGCGTCAGTGAACTCACTACATTTTAGCTTGCTCACAAACACATCACCCTATTTTCAAGAGAAAAAATGTCAAAAACCGGTCACCTGCAGGTTGTGAAAAAGGGAAATGAGCATCTTTCAGATAATCTGTATGAAATGCTTTGATACGGAGAAAGCTCACTCGGCAATTGATAAAAGGGGAAATTTGAGGTCTCAGAAGACAGAATACAAATCCTACTGGCAGCTGCTACTCCGTGGCATAGGACAAGTCTTTTTGTTTTTGTCCCCTGCCTATTCAACCAGTAGACACCCTCGAAAAGGTTTTGAAACCATCATATGTGAGTGTGGGTTCACAAAAGATTGCCTGCGTTTTCGAAGAGGGCTTCCGAAGTTGAAACGAATCTATTGACATAGTCAAGAAAAATACTCGGTTCAACACCTGATGTAGTTCATAAACAAGTGCAGAGATTCCCACCTGATTCAGCAGATGGGCGCTTTTCCATTTCTTTCGAACTTACTCTGTCTGAAGAGACTTTTTGTCAAACGGACACTCTTTCTTTTCCGACAAAATGAAAACAAGCGACTCACCCATTTCTCTGCGATCTGGTTGTTCTTGGGCTTCTTCAACTTCCACAACAGCAGTATCATCAATAGCTGAAAACCATCATAGGCGAGAAAGGTGGCGATTAGGGTGCAGGGTTGCAGTGCTTCAAAAGAAACTCCCAACTATTGTCAACGGGTAAAGATAAGGAATTAAGAGATCCCTGTGGGTCAGAATGCAAAGAGTGATTTCTGACTCAGAGTCTTAACTTTTTTTGACTATTTCAGTAGCACTAAGATTATAATGACCTTCAGTTGCCTATATCTGAAGAATGGCTTACATATGTATATTGCGATCGGGCTGGGTTAGCGTCTTCGATAGGGGCTCATTCTGGCGAGACCTTTCTTTCCTAGGTCAAGCATGATTTCTGGACTTTTACCGGGAGATTGAGAGTTCTCTAGCTTGTAACAACGAAAGGACTATTCCAGGCAATGAGGCAATCGACTGCTCAGGTGCTTTCAGAGTAAAGCGCTGATCGCCAAGCGCTAAGAATCAAGAAACGAGCGCAGTCGCTTGACGCTCGACCCTTGGCGCTCGCCGCTCAACGCTTCATTCTTCAGAAGCGCTCAACGCTATAATCTGAAAAATGTTACTAGAAAAGATTTTCCAAGGCCAAGAACTACTATATATGGGGATCGTCTAGCCGTACTGGATTTCGAATTACGCGAATGTTTATGCATAATAATATAACCGTAAGAACTTACGAGAGCGGGCAAGACTGCCTGCTATTGGTGTGTGAGTTGCAGAAGACGGTCTGGCTAAATTATTCAGATTATTATTATCAGTTGACTGGTGGAGGTAACCGATACCAGGCAATTCATATGGTTACACTGATAGCTTGCCTACGCATTGCTAGAGAACCAGTGTGAACTACGCTGCCGCTCTACTTTCTAACCAATTCGTCGCTTTGTAAAGCTTGACACAAATGAATGAGTTCCATCTTCGGAGGAAAAGCTCAAGGGAACACTCAAACAAAGTTTTAGGAACAATTCCCAGATATTTCCGGACCATTAATTCCTTGGTGTTTTGAAAAGTGTACTGATGAATGATCTGATTAACTATCTAGCCAATTATCTAACCGGGATTTGATTGGAGGTTGTACATAAAAGTTCATATTCGCGAGCTGATTCTCTTTCAATTATCTCGACGCGTTATGAAAGAATCAAGTTATAACCCCAGATTAGGACACAAAAAGAGGAGGACGAGCTCGGAACGTCGCTCGGATGCCCGGCGAGAACCGCTTGTGTATTATCCGTTTGAGTATGAAGATGTCGCGAGTAGCGTAATGGAAGGCGGTTAGGCTTACTCCGCTACAAGGAAATGCTCGGGAAAGCCAGGGATGCAATCCAGTACGATTGGCAAAGCGTTTTGCTGGAAAAGAAACGTAGCACACCCTTTGAGCTCACCTGAGGAACTGGAGGCAAGCGCTGGAATGTGCTGCACCTGCACTGGTTTAGCCGATGCTGGAAGTGATACACTTTGAGTGAGATCTGTCACACGATTAAAAAAATATTTGGTTGTCGTCAGAACCTCGGTGAGCAAGGATCATTTGGTACAAGCCTTAGCCGCTATCATATGGACAAAAGGGGCAGCTTTGCTTTACATAAATTTGTTACTTCACAGATGTTCTATAAAATAAATCAAACTCCAACAAGTGATTGAACATCGACCTACAGGAAAGCAGGTCTCTGTCAGTATTGTGCAATTCCCCTACAGCAGTTTCTCATGCCTGGAGGTGCTTTAGAAAAAACCCGAGCTGGCTCCAAAGACTGAGCCTTGCTTCACATACTCAAAGGTACAGTTCACGATAATTTTGGGTTATCCGGATTACGACGAAAAATGAAAGAGAAGAGGGAGAGTAGCGCGATGAAGGCGAAAGAAGCACACGAATCGGTGTTTCCGAAGTGATAAAGGTTTTATGATTAGAAAAATCGTTACAAAGGGGACTGGACGAGAATGAGACCAGAAAAATGAAGTGGGGTGTTTAGACGAGCTATACAATGTGTGTAATTGCGTCCGTCTGGATGCTTGTGACAGACTACAGTACGCAATCATGTCTTTTAAAATTCTTTCACTTATAAGCACAAGTTAACAAAAACACTACTAACAGCAGAACAACCCACCTTTTCTATTCTTTTAAGGTATAGAACTAGAAGAATGACCGCATCGACAAAAAGAATAACAGAGAATAACAGTAAAAGAGCAAAGCATCATCTCAGCAACCGGCGATCAGCTGTCTGCACACTAAACGTGCGGGTCCTTTTGCGAAGAGTGCAACTATCGCCGCGACACTCGTCTGACACATCATCGGCTTATATTATGCCCTATATATCTATTTGATCTTTCGCCTCGACAGCGTCCTTTGTGTTACCCTTGGAGATCCCTGGGTAATTCTAGAAAGGAAGCCATAGGAACGATTTTCATCGTAATCTGTGCCTTTGAGGGTGCTGAGGATATTTCTTTCAACACCTTTTCGAAGCTTTCAGTGTTTCTTGCGATCGTTGCTGCGTATCCGCTCGAAAATACTGAAGTGTATGTAGCTGCGGGAACTGTGATCGCAAGCGATATCCTAGAAAGAAGGGTGGGAGCAGCAGGTCGAACATATCCTTTTCTTTTACGACTCCATCAGTCCTACTAAGAAGCTGCGTATTTATCTCATAGTCTATTTATAATTTATAATATGACACGGAATGAAAAATTCTATAACTGCCTTACGAGAAAAGGGCTCGTCCATGCGAATCTTTTCACGGGTCGGAGAGTGAGGACCTGGAAAATGTGTAGCACATGATATCACTTACCCTATCGTACTTACAGGGTTGACCATAATTATAGCGACAAGACTTGTTGCAGTTAGCGTACATTCTATCGCGCACATAGCGCGCCAATTTTATGGATTTTTCAATCTCATCATTTTTTCCAACCCTAATAAAAAAATTTGGGCAAATTTGGTCCATTCATAGTGTGATGGTGAAGCCTTCTCCTGATCGTTCCGCTATCCTTCGTCTGCACAATGCCGGCAGCCCACCCGCTACGATCGCTAAGCACCTCGGCATCCACCGCAGCGTTGTGTATCGCACACTCCAACGTTATCAAGACCTTGGTGGACTCCAAGACAGCCGAAGAAGTGGAAGACCTCGTACTGTCGCACGCCGAAGATCGTCGAGACGTCAGAAAGCGGATAGCGAGAAACACGACTCGGAGCATATCGACGATGGCTCGCGACATGGGAATATCGCGGAAGTCAATAGAAAGGGTCGTCCACGAAGACCTTAAGATGTACCCCTACCGCACTCGGAAGGCTGCTATCCTCAGCGCCTCGAATCAGCAGGCGCGAGTGAGGGAGTGCCGACAGCTTTTGCTTCGGACGCGCAACAAGGACCACCATTCGATCGTCTTTTCGGATAAGAAGCTCTTCACCGTCGAGCAGCAGTACAACGCTCAGAACGTCAGAGTGATCGCAAGGAATGGCGAGGAAGCCGACAAGAAGGGAAGAGTCGTTCACCAGGTTGCACACCCTGCCCAAGTCATGGTTTGGCAGAGGTGTGTGCCTCGGGGAAGACGCCGTTGATATTCGTCGACCCCGGCGTCAAAATCGACTAAGATTACTACCTGAAGACGATTCTGGAAGGTGCTCTATTACCGTGGACGAATTCCCACTTCAACGGCCGACCGTGGACATTCCAGCAAGATTAGGCGCCCGCTCACAAGGCCAAGGTCGTCCAAGCGTGGTGCAAGAGCGAACTCCCCGAGTTCATCTCGGCAGAAGAATGGCCGGCATTGTCTCCGAGTTAGAACCCACTGGACTATAAGTTGTGGTCCTACCTTGAGAGCAAGGCCTGCGCCACTCCCAACCCCAATTTGGATTCGAAGGCAGCGCTAAATGGGAAGAATGGGACGAAATCGACGACAATGGGACGAAATCGACGACGCACTCCTGCGTCCGGTCATCGACGCTTTTCCTGCGACTCCGCGCTGTCGTCCGTGCCAAAGGTGGCCGAATCGAGAAGCAACTTATGGTTGTTAATGTACCAGTTGTTACTTGATAAATGTAATGTTCATGACTCGTTTGCACTTTTGCTTTCTGAGATAACCTTGTCGCTATATTTATAGCCAACCCTGTGCAAGTAAGTACGGACGATTCATATGACTTCAAGACCGGGCTCCCGTTCAGACCCAATGAATGGTCGTGTCATTAGAAAAAAGGGATGCAGGAACTTTTAAAAAAAGGAAAGCACTTTTATTTGCAGAGGCGAGTCCCAGCTAATGAAATGCTCTGCTACATAATGGCGCCAAAAATTACTCTAGTTGGGTAAGCGTGCTATCATTTTGCTTTTACTAGTTCCCCATTCTGAAGAGCAATCACTGGAACCTGACAGCCTAAACGAGTATTTGTCACATAAAACCTACAAGAAGTAATCGCTGTCAACTCTAGAATTCTCGAACCTATCGTACCTGAATCATGGCGTGGTGGGCTGGGTTTCTCTCTTGAACCACGTTCATCTGAAAATTTAGACCACACGTTCCAGAAGAAATTGCTGTCGTGAGACGAGTTGTCATTATTACTGTCTAACAAGATCCTTGGACATTACGCGGTACTTCTTGAAAGGTAGGAAACCAATTTGGGATCCAATATGGGATAGGAACAAGACGAATTTTAGAGTCCCGTGAATGTGTTACACAGTAACCCGACTCGGGCGTACGGGGTAAGGGAACTTCTCCCCGAATCCCCACGAAGAAGCCAGACCCAAACGTAGGAGGAGGGGGNGGGGGGGGGGGGGGGGGGGTGGGGGTTACTGTATCACACGTTCACGGGACGTTGAAGTCTGACTTTTTTCCGGAGAGAGTTAGTAGGATTGCATTGCTGCATGTGCAAGGAGGAAACGTAAACTGTAACTGTCTCTGCCTACTGCATATAAACTCTTTTACACGGGGTCCACTATGCCTTACTTTTATCGACTCAAAGACGTCCTTACATATTGTTTAGACAAAATCGAAATAATAATTCAAGCTCTAAGCGCTTAGAGCGTTCCTGTTCAACATTCGTGATACATCATGAGTTTTTGTTTGTAGAGCGAAATCGGTTTTCAGTTAATTTGGGCTTTTCGTACCTGATTCACGGCGTGGTGAGTGGGGTTTTTCTCGTGAGTCTCGAACATCTAAAAACATTGATCATTATTTCCATTGAAGTTGCTAGGAATTCTTTTGACGATCCTAAAATTGGTGATCCAAAAGTTTTATTTCCCAATAACAGTTGCTGAGCCATATTAGATGCAGTCTGAACTATCATAAGAAACCACAGACGTTAGCAACTGTAGCTATTTATATTCTATCCCGAACATTAAGCCCATATTGGCCCCATTAGTTAGAGCATGTCGGAAAAGACTCGGTACCGTTTGGCGAGATAAGGCAGATAATTCATTGAAGTGGTATTTTTTCATCCTTCTTTCGAGCCTATCTTTAAATTAACATATTTTTCGTACCTGTTTCACGGGGTGGTGAACTGGCTTTTTCTCGTGATTCTCGACGGTCTAAAATATTCAAATAGTCCTTCCGTAAGATTCAAAAATTTGTATCAACTCTGAGGAATATTACAAGGCTGCCTCGTTTCAATAGGATACAATGATGCCTGTTTCATAGATCTCCAATTACCTGAATCTCTTCGCTTTGCTAGACTGCCTTCTCTCCTGCTTCGTCGTCTCCGTGCACTTTCACTTGACGGAGGTGTTCTGACTAAATCGAAAGTGATAAATTCAACTTTGACTGGCGAAATTTCGGTAGTGGAACTACACCATAATCATGAATTTGTCGTTGCCCAATAGAGAATTTAATTTTTCAATTTAGTCCTGAAGGAATTTTATTTTTTGTACTAGTTCTTAGACTACGGTGGCCGAACACCAAGTGGCCTAATTGACTTTGTCCAAAAAATGTATAAACGTAAACGAGAATGAGCCGGTCATGTAGCACGTTGAAAAACAAGCGACGGACCTTCCAGCTAACGAATTGGATCCCATTGAATCATAAGAGCGTACGCCTACTAAATCGAAGTGGGCCGATCCTACGGTGAATATGCTTGGCCAACAATGGCCGATCCTACGGTGAATATGCTTGGCCAACAATGGAGATGGCTCGATGTCGACTCGCGTGAATGGCAAACTTCGCGACAAGTCGGACAAAGGTGATACAGGTGATACGGTATTCATGTTGGAGTGACTATGCAATTATCAGCTCAGATCCTTTTTCACTAAGCCACGAATCTCTAAGCCGTAATGTAACCGGCATTCGTCCACAACTTCATCGACAGTTCTGTTATTAGAAATCTAAAGTTTGCAGCACACTGCGCATGCATTTCCACCTTTTTCAAGTGTGAAGAAGAACTATTCCCAAATCAGAAAAGAGACGCTGTGAATGAAGTAGAAGAGAAGGTGTTCCACAAGTAGCCATCTCTATGAGCCTTTAGTAGTGCTTGGGAAGGTTTTAAGGCCGAGGCATTGTAGTTTTCTGAGCCGGAGAGGGTAGGTGAGATGATTATCTCGTGTAAGCTGGCATGGAGAAAGAATTCAACATTGAGTAGATCGCTGTTTCATTTACTATCGAAGATGTGAGCGGTAATGGACTAACATACTATTCCTGCTCAGAAAACTTCATTACGAGCCCGCAGAGCTACCCATCCTTCTCTGCGCTCTAGCGCCTAGTGGGACGACAGCACGAAGGTTCCCCCCCCCCCCCCCCCCC